AGTTCAAAACCAACGCTACAGCATACAGGATACAAACTTTTGGTGGGAGCCTCTTAAGGAGAATGGGGGAGACAATGCCCCAGGGCACTGTGGAGGGCAAGCTTCCCATCACTCATGTTGCTGTCCCAGCTTCTGGCACAGCCCTCTGCACACAGCAGGCACTCAAAGAATGCTCACTAAATTAACAAATGAGGCCACAAGGTCAAAACCAAGGCCAGGAAAAGGTTGCACAGACACATTTAATTTTCTAGGCTCAATTTTACTTATCTCCCTAAGACTAATTAACTGGGCTGTTTCACTGTTGCTAAGGTTAAAAACAATGGGCTCAAGCGTAACGATGGTGAGCATGGCACCGGACCGGGCAGTGTTTCGTTCTGTTGTACACAGGGTCACCATGAGTCAGAACCGACTTGACAGCACCTAACAACAACAGGGCTAAAAATATCTTCTCCCATGACAGAACTTGATATTCTCAATTGCTTTCTAAGAGACAGGTTTTTAACAGTCTGATGAGCCCAGAACTCAGCAGAATCAGACATAGCAAGGAAGTCACGAGTAATGAGGAATACTGAATGTCATGTTTGAATGTGCATGTCAGTGATTGAATACAATACAGGAAATGTATACTTTAGAACTCATTATCTCTGTGGAATACCTAAGTTTTAGACAGTGAATATGAGGACACGGCCACATCGCAGAGGGTCCTAAGGGGCGGTGGAGGGGGCTGCTGCTTCATTTAAATGCTGATGACAAGACCTCAGATTCTTCCCCTCAAAGTCATACTTTCAAAATCTTGCTTCACGAATCAATCAACCCATCAATTAATTAACCTATCTACGTATCTATGTCTTTTTTTTAAAAGCCCCAACTTAAGAGCTTTAAGGGGGAGGGGGTGGTAGAATTTCCTTTTTATATCCATATAAAATTCATCCAGGAAAATTTAGGACACCAAATCATCTGGCGGTAACAATGAAACAGGTACATCTGTCCTTACAGCTGGGGGTAGGGAGATGGTCTCAGATGAGCTTAGCCATTGAACTCAGTCAACTGTAGACAAAAGATACCTTTGCTTGAGAACCAAATTAAAAAGCCAGTGGCCGCTGAGTCAGTTTCGATTCATGGCAACCCCATGTATGTCAGAGTAGAACTGTGCTCCGTAGGGTTTTCAGCGCAGAGTCCCCGGGTGGCACAAATGGTTAAGCACTTGACTACTAGCCGAAAGGTTGGTGGTTGGAACCCACCCAGAGGTGCTGCGGAAGACAGGCTTGCTGTTCTCCTTCTGAAAGGTCACACAGCCTTGAAAACCCTATGTGGCAGTTCTACTCTGCACACATGGGGTCGCCATGAGTCAGAAGCAACTCAACAGCAACTAACAACAAGAACAATCTTACGGAAGTTGATCACCAGGCCTTTCTTCCGTGGTGCTGCTGGGTGTATCAGAACCAACAATCTTTTGGTTAGCAGCTGAGCACGTTTGTGCCACACAGAGACACACTTGCTGAGAACAGCCGGTGGCAGACAGAGGTAGGAGATGAGCAAGTTTTTTAAGTCCATGAAATAAGCTTTTTTTTTTTCTTTTCTTTTTTTAAACCAGGAAACACAAATAGCTCTCATTCAGCCCAACGTGCTTTAATTTAAAAAAAAAAAAAAAAAAGGCTTGCCCTTCCTGGGACATTTGAGAAATCTGACAAATGGGATGGAAAGGGAATTCTGGGGAATAAATGCATTCTGGCAAGCAAGCCTGAAGCAGCAATAAAACCTGATGGTGTTTTTAAAACTCTAGGGGCCCTCCACGCCAGCTTTGCATGGAGCAGGTTAAAGCTCCACATTTGCCAATTATGAAAACATATGCCACACACAAAAACGAAACAAACTTGCATGCACCATGAAGATATAAAAATGCACTAAGCTGTACGTACCTGGTACCCAGGAAGGGACCTGACCGCCTCCACAACGGCCAGGGACATCAGATGTTGCACAAAAGGGATTCGCTGTCCCAGCTGGGATCTCAGTGGGATGGAGACAAGCACAGTAGAGAGAGCACATCCCATGGGGCTCAGCCAAGCGTTCCTTCCCCGGCCTGGAAAACAAGCCCGCTGTCTGCATGAACTTGCTCAGTAGGGCCAGGAAATGTGACCAGGGCCTTGGAGCCAAACGCTCAAGAGATAGCCCCCTCGAGGCTGTGGGGACCGTGGTCTCGGGGAACATCTAGCTCAATTGGCATGACACAGCTTATAAAGACAATGCTCT